CTAATAGCATGGTATAAGCCCTGAGCCAAGACCTCAAACTGTCTACTTTTATTCTGGAGTTTCAATGAGTTCTGGGCTTTATTTTTAAATTGTCTAAAAATTTACTTCATACAAAAGAGCGAATATTGTTAAAACTCCATACTACCCAAAGAAATCTATTCATTCAATGCAATCCTTATCAAAACAATACCAGCATTTTTCACAGAGCTAGAACAAACAATTCTAAAATTCAAACAGAATCAGAAAAGACTCTGAATAACCAAAGTAATGTTGAAAAAGCAAAGCAAAGAAGGAAGCATCACAATGCTTGACTTCAAGCTGTACTACAGAGCTGTGATCATCAAGACAGTGTGGTCCTGGCACGACAACAGACACACAGATCAATAGAACAGAATAGAGAACACAGAAATGTACCCTCAACCCTATGGTCAACTAATCCTTGACAAAGCAGGGAAGACTATCCACTAGAAAAAAGACAGCCTATTCAATAAATGATGTTGGGAAAATTGAACAGCCAAGTGCAGAAGAAGGAAGCTGGACTTTCTTACACCATACACAAAAACAAATTCAAAATGGACAGAAGATCTAAATGAGAGACAAGAATCTATCAAAATCCTAGAGGAGAACACAGGCAGCAGCCCCATTGACCTCGGAAACAGCAACTTCTTAGTAGATGCATCACCAGAGGCAAGGGAAACAAAAGCAAAAATGGACTATTGGGGCTTCATCAAGATAAGAAGCTTCTACACAGCAAAGGAAACAGTTGACAAAACTAAAAGGCTGTATAGAGTAGAAGAAGATATTTGTAAATGACACATCAGATAAAGGGTGAACATCCAAAATCTCTAAAGAATTTAACAAACTCAACACCCAAAAACCAAAAATCCAGTCAAGAAATGGGCAGAAGATATGAATAGACACTTTTCCAAAGAAGACATACAAATGGCCAACAGACACATGAAAAAGATGCTCTGTGTCCCTCATCATCAGGGAAATACAAATCAAAACCACAGTGAGATACCACCTTACCTTATACTGGTCAGAATGGCTTAAATGAACAAGTCAGGAAACAACAAATGTTGGAGAGGATGCAGAGAAAGGAAAACCCTCTTGCACTGCTGGTGGGAATGCAAACTGGTGCAGCCACTCTGGAAAACAGTGTGGAGGATCCTCAAAAAGTTAAAAATAGACCTGCCCTGCGACCCAGCAATTACACTACTGGGGATTTATCCAGAGTATAAAAAAATGCTGATTCCAGGGGGCACATGCAGTCCAATGTTTATACTGGCACTTTGAACAATAGCCAGATTATGGAAAGAGCCCAAATGTCCATTAACTGATGAATGGATAAAGATGTGGGGTGTGTGTGTGTGTGTGCGCGCGTGTGTGTGTAATGGAATACTACTCAGCCATCAAAAAGAATGAAATCTTGCCATTTGCAATGACATGGATAGAGCTAGAGTGTATTATGCTAAGTGAATAAGTCAGTCAGAGAAAGACAAATACTATATTATTTCACTCATATGTGGAATTTAAGAAACAAAACAGATGAACATAGGGGAAGGAAAGGAAAAATAAAACAAGATAAAAACAGGAAGCAAACCATAAGAGACTCTTTTTTTTTTTAAGATTTTATTTATTTATTTATTCATGAGAGACACACAGAGAGGCAGAGGCACAAGTAGAGGGAGAAGCAGGCTCCCTGCAGGGAGCCCGATGTGGGACTCGATCCCAGGACCCCGGGATCACACCCTGAGCCAAAGGCAGATGATCAACCACTGAGCCACCCAAGTTTTAAGTGAAACATAGACTGATTCCATGGAGGAATTCAGTATGTGAAGTTCAGAATTTTCTCCCAAGTCAGCATTCAAACAATCCCCAATACTTTGTGAGCTCAGCTAAATCCCGCCTGGTAAAAGCAAGCTCTCCTTCCACTGAGCTCACAGGCATTGTTTCCCCCCCTCCCAGCCTCCAAATGCTCCTGCCACCTCTTTATGGGCCAGAAGGGACAGCAGGACACCTGGAACTAGAGACCTCAGGCCATCAGGTGCCAGGAGAGTTAACTCAGCCAAGCTCAGCAGGAGGTGACTGAATGATCAAGGATCAAAATGCAAGTCAGAAGTTGTGAGGTACAAGGGCAGGGGAGATAATCAACAGAGAAAACTGCACCATATTTAATAGTCATTGGGTCAGTATGAGGCCACCTGCACAAGTGTGGTTTAGACAGATGGTTCAGTTCCTTGGGTGCCACACAGTGAGGGCAGCAGTGGACCTTGTCCCCGCTCTCTCAGTGGTCTGCTTTCTCTCCAGTTTCAAAAGAGAGAAGGATACGCAATTACATGGGTTCACTGTTGTTGACACTAGATTAAGAGAGGCATCCAGAGGCCCTGTTCCCATGTCCTTATTTACAGATGAGGGGGAGCAAGAGCAAGGCTTAGATGGCCAAGTTACTGGAGATAATGAAGTGGAATTCACAAATTTAAGAGCAGGGAGCTTCTTACACTGTACATGGTCTTTCTCACAGTCAGAACTTTACAATACTCCTGGGTTAATGAATGAATAAACAGCACATGTCCTTCCTTCGTTTTCTTCTTTATGATGTCAACACTTGGCTAAGTGAAGAGAAGTTGATTTGGAAGTTCCCATGTGAAAGACGAAGAACTGCCAGCAAAAGAATCCCCTGACAGGGTCAGACTGGTTAATAAGCTTAAGTCATTCATTCCACCCGAGTCCTTAAGCACCCACCAACCCACCAAGCAGTGCGCTGAGTGGATCCTGCAAGATCACAGCAGTTAACTGAGGCTACACAGCCAGGAGTCTACATCAGGGGGAAGATCTTCTGCTATGAGTATATGCCTGGCTGCCTTGCAGACCAAGACAGCGTCATCAGACTGATTTTATAAAATGTCAAGAAGCTGCCTGCCTTCTTCTAAAGTAAATAAAACTTTAGAAACGCAGCTTCTCCCAGGCAGAGGTCAACACTGACTCTCCTACCAAGGCTAAGTATATACCTAGCTAGCTGGCCTGCAGTCAGGGGCTCCAGGCTTGCCAGGTCCCCTTGTACCTGGCTACTGCCTCAGCTTCCCAAGGAGGTGAATTCAGAGTCCTAAGGAGGCAGAAAGATCCTCAGCCCCAAGAGGAAGCCTCCCTCCAATTGTTCTCTGGCCTGGGCCCCCATTTCTCCACCTTCAGTGGACACTGTCTTCCAGGATCCCTAAGCCCTGGTAGTATAAGCAGACAGCCATGAAGTCCTTCTGGATTCCTCTCATGTCCTCCAGCTCCTACTCCATCCAATGTCAAGAACAGCCTGTTCTGGACCATTATCATTTCCTAAATCTGCTGTCCCTAGTCCAGGGGAACCAGGCCAGCCAAGTGACTGTCATCTGTGCCTGTAAACCTGCAGTTGCCTGCTGAGTGGTTGCCCTGTACCACTGGGGCCATCAGCCTGCTCTCTAGTCTTCTAAATGCAGGTCTTAACATGTGGGCCCCTAGAGATTTCCCATGGATTTCAGAACAAAACCCCAAGTCTTCATTGTTTGGGCTCACTGAGCTCCTCCTTCTGGTGGGTCCTCCCTCCCATTTTTCAGGCTCCAGTCTCACGGCCCACCCTTCACACCCTTGTAAATATCACAATCCTCATACCACAGGGCCTTTGTCCATGCTGTTCCCTCATGGAAATCATTCTCCCTCTTGACTATTCCTCCTTTAGACTCTAGCTTCATTGCCATTATCCATCCAAGGAGCCAATCCTAAAGCCCACATCCCAACTAGGTCAGTACCTCTGCTGATGCTCTCAACTTCTCCCTGTGGTAGCCATCATAGCTACAACTGTCCAACATGTTCAAATTCAACCACTCAGACTTCAAGGGTCACGAAGGCAGGAGTTCCTGCCTTTAATTCCAGTGCCTAATCCAGTGCATGGTAGGGACTTAAATAACATTGCCTGGCTGGTTGGTTGACTGGCTGGCTGACTAGCTTGATGGATGGATGGATAGATAGGTGAGCAGGTGGATAGATGGGTGGGTAAATGGATAGATGAGTGGATGGCTGGCTGGCTGGCTAGCTGGCTGGAAATATGAGTGGGTGGATAGACGGCACTAAAGAGCACAGGAGGATCCTATGGGTTCTGAGAGATGATTCCTGGAGTGTCTCAAATATCTTATTAAAATAAGAAGAACAAAAGGGATACCTCTGAAGGGTCTCCAACTAGAGTCTGAGACACCTCATGCCTTGGAGAGGCTCAAAGCCAGGGAGTTTGTAACCCCCATGACACTCTAACTCAAATCTCTTTGGATGGCATCAGTAGCAGACACTGATGCCATGCTCATAGCCCCTTGGCAGCCCCCTGCCATTCTCCACCTGAGTGTTCCCTCTGTTCAACTAGGTTCTCACTGTCAGCCCAGAGAAGTGCCCCAACCAAAGCCAGCCCGGGTGAGTAACACATCTGCGAATGCAGGAAAAGCGCCGTCTGCTTCAAGTGCTTTTGATGAGCTGCTGAGCGGAAGGGGCCTCCCGGTTGCAGCGGAGATTCTCAGAACTCTGGTCCTTCCTGGAAACCCTGAGCCAGGGAGGCAGGAATGCAAGTCCAGGGCCATGAGGCCAGAAACATTTTCCTCTTTTCTTTCTGATGCTTTTTGTGACCCTTCCACCTCACAATACAATATTTGCACTGTGAAACCCTGAAATCTACCAAACTTCATCCCTTTTGGCTTAACATTCTTTAGGAGCTTGGCATTGTGTTAGATGTTCAGTCATTCCCACGGGCAGTCCCTATTTAAAAACTGCCCATCTATTTAAAGTTCACGATGGGGGGATAAAAGAAAAAAGACTTCCAAAACCAAAGGGAACATGAGATAGGCAGAAGAAAAATCCAGTTTGCTTCTAAAAAAGGCTGAAAATTATAACCATCCGTGGCCTCAAGTCTGAGATTTTTTTTTTTTTCCTCTTCTGGTTGTTTGCAAACCAAAGTGGAATTTTACTGTGGGTTACTAAGTGAGCTTTTTCAAGTTCCTAGTCAAGTTCCGAAAGCCTCCAGTCACTCGGTAGCATGCCATTTCAGTTGCTCCTGCAGAGGGGAAAGACAAGGGAGCCGAATAAAGCAGCGGGTGTCTCTGGCCTGGAGCCCCCTGCCTCCACCCCCGCCCCCCAAGCTGCTGTTATTTCCCCAGCCATTAGCCAGGGACCCTGCGCAGCCGCCTCACCTCCCCTATGAACAACAAAAGCGTGATGAAGGCCACAGGAGTCAGCGCAGGAAGCCCCGGTATCCGGTAAGAAATAAGAAGTACAGCAGTACAGGATGCGCCTTGGATCAGGGGGATGTGAAAAGCCCTCAGTCTTCTCAGTCTTCGTGGCCCATAGCAGAGCTGCGGGGGCTGAGACCTCAGTGCTCCTCGGAGCTCAGCTGCGCCTGCTGCTGTCGGGGCAGGGCCACTGGCCTCCTGCCCAGGGGAACACGGGAGGTGATGGCCACCTCTGCTGCGCTACTGCTGGTGCTGCTGCTCCTGGGCCAGCTGGGGCCGGCGGCGGGTGCTCGCAGGGCGGCCGTGGTGTGCGCGGGGAGTGCCTGCTACACGGCCCACGCGGGCAAGCTGAGCGCAGCCGAGGCCCAGCTTCACTGCAGCAGGAACGGGGGCAACCTGGCCACGGTGAGGACTGAGGCGGAGGCCTGGCACGTCCAGCGGGCCCTGGCCCAACTCCTGCAGTCAGAGGCCGGCCTGGAAGCAAGGAACCGCAAGTTCTGGATCGGGCTCCAGCGCGAGAAGGGCAAGTGCCTGGACCCCAGACTGCCGCTGAAGGGCTTCAGCTGGGTGGGCGGCGGCGAGGACACGCTCTTCACCAACTGGCACAAGGAGGTCAGGAACTCGTGCACCTCCCGGCGCTGTGTGTCCCTGCAGCTGCCCCTGTCTCCGCAGCCCCAGGCCGGCAGCCTCCCCAAGTGGTCCGAGGGCCCTTGCGGGAGCCCCAGCATCCCCGTAAGCAACATCGAGGGCTTCGTGTGCAAGTTCAGTTTCAAGGGCATGTGCCAGCCTCTGGCTCTGGGGGGCCCGGGCCGGATCAACTACACTACGCCGTTCCAGGCCACCAGCTCCTCCCTGGAGGTCGTGCCCTTCGCCTCCGTGGCTACCGTGGCTTGCGGGGACGGCGACCAGGGTCAGGAGCAGCACTTCCTGTGCAGGGAGAAGGCCCCCGGTGTGTTCGACTGGGGCAGCTCCGGGCCGCTGTGCGTCAGCCCTGGGTCGGGCTGCAGCTTCAATCATGGGGGCTGCCAGCAGGTTTGCCTCGAGGGAGGCGACGGCTCCTTCCGCTGCGGCTGCGGGCCGGGGTTCAGGCTGCTGGACGACTTGGTGACCTGCGAGTCCCGGAACCCTTGCAGCTCCGGCCCGTGCTCGGGGATGGCCACCTGCGTGCCCGAACCCCACTGGGAGAGCTTTGCGTGTCGCTGCCCCCAGGGCTACCAGCTGGACGCGAGCCAGCGGGACTGCGTGGACGTGGACGAGTGCCAGGCCTCCCCCTGCCCCCAGGAGTGTGTCAACGTCCCCGGGGGCTTCCGCTGCGAGTGCTGGGTGGGCTACGAGCTGGGCGGCCCCGGAGAGGGGGCCTGCCGGGACGTGGACGAGTGCGCGCCGGGCCGCTCGCCGTGCGCCCAGGACTGCACCAACACGGCCGGCTCCTTCCACTGCTCCTGCGCGGAGGGCTACGTCCCGGCCGGGGAAGACGGCGCCCAGTGCCAGGACTTGGACGAGTGCGCAGACCCCGGGCGCGGCCTTTGCGACAGCTTGTGCCTCAACACGGAGGGCTCCTTCCGCTGCGGCTGCCTGCCGGGCTGGGAGCTGGGTCCCGACGGGGTCTCGTGCGCGCCGGGCCCCACGGCCCCGGCCCCCGTGGCTAGCCCTGGGCCCCCCCCGGGGCGGGGTGCGGGAGGCAGGGCAGGGGAAGTTGTGGTTTCTGCCCCCGTGGCCAGCCCCACCGGGGCCCCTGAGGGCGCCTCCGCGGAGGCAGTGGCCACCGAAGGACCCTCCCTCGCCCCCAACTACCCCGTCACCCTGGCCGCACTGGACGTGCAGGCGCCCAGTGGGCCCCCTGGCGCCCGGATGGAGCCAAGCACCCGTCACCCCAGGGCCACCACTGGCCGCGGGGAGAATACTGACGAGGATTTCACGGCCAGACACGGCGATGAGGGCACGGACGGACAGAAGCTGCTGCTGTTCTACATCCTGGGCACTGTGGTGGCCATCCTCCTCTTACTGGCTCTGGCGCTAGGGCTGCTGGTCTACCGAAAGCGGCGAGCAAAGAAGCACGAGGAGAAGGAGAAAAAGCCCCAGAACACGGCCGACAGCTACTCCTGGGCTCCTGAGCGAGCTGAGGGCAGGGCCTTGGAGAATCAGTACAGGTAAAGGAGGCCCCAGGTCCCCCAGGCGGGGCGGGCGGGCGGGCGGGGGCGGGGGCAGCGCAGGCGCGCAAAGAGCGCCACACGGAGCAGGCCACGTCCAGGCTGGCAGCCAGACACGCCCACTAAGGGCGCTGGGCCTGCCTGGGGCAAGGAGCGTGGGGGTCTCTCCCAGGGCAAAGACGCGCATGGCGGGTCCAGAAGCTCCCAATGCTGTCCTGGTTGTTTTCCATAGTCCAACGCCAGGAACAGACTGCTGACTCGGAGGCTGGAGGGGAGAGGTCCCCAGAGACACAGACTGTTGGCCATCACCAATCTTTACGCATTGCATCGGAAGGGGGGTGGGATCCACGTCCTTCCAAAAGACTGGACCGGAATCTTAGCAAGCAGTTGTAAACATTCTTAAAAGCCTGACCACTTGGAATATACAGGTATTTTCTACGTGTGTGTGTGTGGTATTCCTGAAGTGGAAGCAATGGGATGGGATGCGATGTCATTTCAGGAATTTTGTGGATATTAACAATTCTCACTCACTTTCCCTTTTCAAATTCCAACGTGACTGGTTTCATTTTTCCCACTGATTGTGGATCAGGGGCTTACACGTCAGGTGCTAAGGGGTCTCCTTTTGAACGACTTCTCTGCTCACTGGAATCATCTAAGAAGAAAAGGTGGTCTGCTAATGCTAATTAAGATTGAAATTATTTGTTCCTCTTAGTAGAACAGAGACTAAATCAATTGTTTAATTATATAAGAAGCTTTTTTGTTGTTGTTAAGGACTGGAAACATTTCTTTCTGTTTGCATTCATGCATTTTCCCATCATAAGCCCTGCTGAACTTGATATACTTGGAATCCTGCAGAATGACCAGAGTATACTGAACTGCTTAGGTAGTAAGAATGCTGAAAGTTTAGAAATCGCATTTCCTAGTTCTTAATGTCTCTAATTGTCTTGGGTTTATTTGCAAGTGAAACCTGGAAAGTGTGGGAGAGGTATGAAGTGAGTTGAGAGTGATTTTGAAAGTAAGTACTCCAAAGAGCTTGAGGAGAAGCCTTGGGTTTGTTTCACAAATATTTGAATCAATCCACCTAAATGCACTTGCATTAACACATACTTACTATTGATGAGATGAATGCACACAAAGAAAAAAAAGCTGGAGACACCTTATCTCTGAGCCAGTGCAGCCCTGAGACACCTCCTATGCCACCTGCCTTCCCTGCGTGCCACTATTTAAATGCTCTGATCATAGGTGGACGAAGCCCTGAGAAATCTCTCATTCTGATTTTTAAGGCTGTGTGAGGGGGACGAGATGCTGAGTTTTGAAAGCTGGCATCATAAGGTATTTTAACATAGCTTGCAGCTGGTGTTGCTTCCTGAGAACATGATCCTGACTCGTGGCTGTAGCTTTCAAGTCAGGGAACGAGAAGGCTGGACTTTGTCACCGTTTGGCTTGAAAAATGTCACATCTTTCTCTAATTCTTAAAAAAGCAGGGGAGGTGGGAGGGGGTAAGAGAATAGCTCAAATCTTTTGCAACCACAAAAACCATTCAAAGCAATTTTAATTTATTTTTAAAAGCTCACTTGCGAAACTTTCCCCTCCCTATGTAGTGGTGGAGAGTACTTTCTCCCCACATAGCTTTGCCTGGGTCACTGGGAAACAGTGCAGGGATTCACCAATGGTCGGAGCTGTTACAAACTGCCTGCCTGGCACTCCGGTCTCCGGTCATCTGCAGGCTTGTTGCTGTCATCGTGCAGAACAGAACAGGAATGTATTTCCTTCTAGGGATTCCAAAGTCTGCCTCTCAGAACCAAGGTGCCCTATTGTTTCTGGTTTTGCCTTAGAAACACATCCGTCCTAGAGGCGGGCACCTGGGGCAGGAAGAGTGGCCAGGGGCCCAGCCCTCAGTAAATACCCTTCAGCTAATTTTGAAATGCAGATGCTATATTTTAGGATTTGCTTCTGTTTGTTTTGTTTCGTTTTGTTTTCCCAAGAAAATTGGTAACTGAAGGAGTGGGCATAGGGAAAGGTGAAGGTTGTGGAGGACTTAGCAAGGTATCTGGAACTTTTGCTTTTTAAGGACATCCAGTATTATTTGGATTTCCGTTGATATATTGAAGTTTAACACCCAGGGAGACAAAGGCTGTGTCCACTGGCCACGGGACCAGTGGCCGTCAATTGTGTGGAAACGAACCCGGCCACGGTTCAGATGATCTTAAAGAGTTGGCTAGATACATTGCTGATAGTAGCTGTACTTACACGAAATAAATGCAGATTCAAAAGCTTTACCTCCAGGCTTTTACCATTCTATCTTATCATTAGAGGAAGGAGACATTCCTATTCTAGGCTTTGCCTAGAATCTGCCCCTTCCTGAACTAATGAGCCCTACTTTTTCTCCCAGCCACTCTGACCAGTGACCAAGATCCTGGAATTGGATGACCCCAGGCAGTGAACCTGATGAAAACCACTGGCCTCAAACAAATATTCTTGTCCCATTTGATACCACTGTCTTGATATCTCTGTCATTCTCTGAGGATGTGAATCCTTGTCTGGGGAGATAGGCACCCACTGGCCGTGGCAAGCTGTCCTTTTATCCAGATGTTCCCCAGGCGGCTCTGCCGTGACACAGTGAGAAGTGGGGGGGATGGAATATGGTAGAGGTAGGCTCTGGCACGCACAGACTCCTCCCTGCGTCCCTGGGCTGGGCAGGGGCAGACCAGGTGCTGTTCTATCCCCTGGCTTCCAGGCAGCAGAACAGCAGGGACAATGGACAAAGGGAGGCATCTCCGACTTGGCAACAAGTGCAAAGTCAACAGAGATTTTTGTCCAAATAGAATTTCCCATAGTTCAATAATGCTCTTGGAAAAACTATATTCAGAACAAACCCATCCTCTCCTCTCTCTCCATCTCCCAACGCAGATAATTTAAGGGGAGGATGCCTCCTACAATACACAGCCCACTATGCTCCTTTCTGAATTTCGGGGATGATCACTGATCTTTTTTCCTGTTCATTTGCATACATGATGCAGGACAGGCCCCACCCTGGAATCTGAGGAGTGTAAAAGTGCAAAGGTGAAGCACTTATTTGAAAATGCCTTGGAAGTGGTGGACCTGGTGGGGTCTTTTGTAGGGTACACCCGCCACTGCTCAGCATTGTGGGCTTGAGGCAAAAGCGGCCTCGCCCATGTCCCTTTGGTTCACCTACCTGCCTGATTATCACAGTCGTGACATCTGGTGCCACATATCCGCATGGTATTTTACCAGCAGCATAAAGTGGGTGACTCAAGTGGGTTTTGTCTTAAGGACAGGAGAGATTCAAGCTAACATCCTCCCCATGATTAGGCAAAAAGGTAGAATAAAAAGTTAAGTGTGTATGTGGGTGTTTGTGTACACAGTACAGGAGGAACTAAGTTGGAAGTGCATCTTTCTCCCTGAAACACACACATGTGTGGTGCAATTTTAATATCCCAATCAGGAGCCCCTGTTTGAGCAATCCTGATGGGACCTGGAGTTTTGTCACTGAACGACCTCCAGAGAATATGGTTGTGATCATTAGCTAATTTTATTTCAACTCTCCTTACCACAAATATTTTTGTGAAAATTAAGAGAACAGAGATGAGATTTGACCCCAAAAAAGTACTACATTCAAAATAGTGCAGTTTTTTAAAGCAAATATAGGACAGCCTTTTCCTATTATTTTTCTCCTTAGTTTCTCCATTGTCTGAATCAGGAAAACAGGAAAGCATGGCTTTCTAGCAGCCACAAAATGGTGTAATGTCCTCTCCATATTTCCATCACCTTAAACAATAGATTTAACTAAGGAATCTGAGATATGATCCCTGAAAACATCTGTCCCTGTCTGGCTGTAAAACCTACTGCTTATGTCTCTGTACTTTGTGGCATTTGTCAACCAAAAAAAAAAAAAAAAAAAAGAAGAAGAAGAGGAAGATGATCAAAATTCTCCACGTATTCTGTGTTCAAATACCATATTCTGCTTCAGATTCCTGAAACTAATACTTGCTGAAGTGCTTAAAAAAAAAAAAAAAGAATCATGTTTTGACTTGTTCTTGGCGATCATGCCTGTCTATTTTAGGAAGAAACTGTGGAATTTCTTTCTCACATTGTTCCTCTCATCTGAAGGGGGCAAGCGTTTCCTTTCTGCAGATTTTGCCTGCTATTCTGGGCTGGGTTCTTTTTGCGTATTTGGCTGAAGCCTGCATTAGGTCATTCACCAGGCCTGGTTCTGTGATACTTGATGGAATTGTAAATGTCCGTCATCACTGCACAATTGCTAGATGAGAATGTAAGTCTCTTCAAATCTGTGCATTTGGAATGTGTTCCACTAATTCGGCCATTGTGGGATTTCTCTCCAGGGCTTCTTTCTGTCGCAGGCTCGACTCTTTGTCAGGGCTGGGAGGACAGGCTTGGCCGCTGCGTCGGCCTCAGAACTCTGAGAAACTGAGGGGCATCTCAGGTCTGCCTCCACAAGTAGCCTGCTTGTTGTCCTTTGTGTTTTATGTCACATGCCTAACCTAATAAACTCTGAAATGCTTTTGTTGCCAACTTGTTTTAATACATTTTGTAACAACTCAAAATACATGGCAGAACCTGAATCCACGGTCATTAAACGGAGCCATTTCCCTTCTCAAAGAGTCACTTAACCAAAGTACCCTGCCTGCCCCAGTTCTGCATCGTTACCTACCTGGAGTGACACTGACTCCAGGGTACCTCAACTGGGGCTGGGCTTTGTCCAAGGGGACAGGGACATTCAGCGGGACTGGGCTACAGTGCACCCTCTGTCCTGGCTGCTGGATCCATCCAGCCAGGGCAGACTCCATGCTTCCAGACTTTGTCTTCTGATCCAAGTCTACTCCACCATGCCTCTGTGCCCGTTTGACTCCCTGCATTGTTTTAATGGCACACCTGGTGCAGGATTAAATATGTCCAGTTGGTGTGATGTGAAAACACTGTTCCATGATTATCATAGGAGCATTTGTCACCACTTTGTCAGCAAAGCCTCTTCCGTTTGTTTAACTAATTGGACGGGCAGACCAGATCCCTCACTACTTGGCTACAGGAATCTCACTCTGGCAGGAAGCTGGGGCAGCAGGTGGTCGGATCCGAGTTGCCTGCCTCTCAGACTGCGTGTGTGTGGGGAAAGCAGGGCCTGGGTAGGGTGAAGTGCTCTGCTGTCAGGCTGTCGGACAAGATACTTGTGATAACCATTTTTTTTTTCTTAGAGATAAATAAAGCTGATCTTTTTAGCCGTCCAATCACTAGCGAAATACATTTGGAAAGTTTATCTTAATATGAACAGCCATGGCTACCCCCCAATACACACACACACACACACTACATGCACACGCGCGCGCACACCACAAACAATTCTAACATCCTTCTCTTTCATACTGAAAAACCAGAGGCCAGTGTTTCCTATTTAGGAAAAGCCCATGAATAAAAATGCCAAACATAAGCTCCTCTTGGTGACTTTTGTTATCTGCTAACTAAAATAACAAATATTAGATAAATCTTTCAAATACGAATCTTTACAAAGAAATTCAATTCATACAGAGTTATATTTATTGCACAATACAAAGTCCATTTGTAACAGATTAAAACACAAGACTCACAGGCCATGGAGTTTAACATGAATCAAATGAACATATCAACTTCTCAGCCAACTCCTAAATATATTCAGCAAGAGGAGACAGGGCACAGAAAATAAACTCACAAACTTGAAATCTCAACGAGCCCTTCGCAGCTTCCCTAGAGCCCCCAGGTCTGAGGAGGAAATTATGGAGAGGTATGTGTGAAAAAGTGAGGAAAGGACCATGAAGGAATGGAATAGCCAAGATAACCCACTGGCCATCACTTCAAGGAGCCTGACTTGATAGAATGGTCTTCACAGGGCTGCACGTGCATGTCCTCACCTGAGCCTCCTGGCATCCAAACCACAGCCCCCTGAGCCTCCACCCCACTGTGAAATCTGTTTGTTGGGTTTTTATGTGAAGTCTGTCACTGTTGACCTGGATGTTGATCTTCTCTTGTGGTTGGTTGGTTGAAACTGGTCCAGAGACTCCAACTGTACCATAGGAAGGAAGAAGGAAGGAGGGAAAGAAGGAGAGAGAGAGAGAGAGAGAGAGAGAGAGAAGAAATGGAAGAAACACAGAGAAGAAAGGAAGGAAAAGAGAGAAGGGAGGGAGAGATGGAGAGGGGAGAGAGAGAACTGGGGGGGTGCAGGATGACTCAGATGTCGTCAAGGTCACCGGGTCACCACTCATACATCTCTGTCTCAGTTTGAGATGCTCAGGGGCCATTTGTCCTCGCTGCTGTCTATAACTTCCTGGACCACATTTGCAGAAGGCAGAGCTCTATTTCTGTAGAGCTTGGCTGGGGACCAATGTCCCTTGTGTCATGCTCTTCTCACCTCTTCCTGCAAAGTACTGCTTATCTCTTCCACTTCATGTTTTATGCCCATCCACATAATTCATAGCACCATGTTTTAACTGGGTGGATGCCTTCTCTGCTGTAGAGATCCTTCTACATCCAAATATAATATGAAAACAATGAAATTTGTGAAGTAGAAGTGAATAATTGTGCCTTTTACCTTGTTTCCCCAGGGTCTTCCTTTCCCCAAAAGGCTATGCCACAAATTAAGTGTTTCACTTCCTTGTCAAAACAGCATCTGCACCCCAAATAGATGACTCCTAGGTGTCCTAGCCCACCTTCTCTGTGTGTCTTGCATGCAGGTTCTGCACGTCGACCACACCAGGCTCATCCATGGACTTTGTCCATGTCATTGTCACTCATGGTGATGTGGCTTTGCAGATCTCCTCATATTTCTATCCATTTTGCTTCCTACATAAAACTGTATGGTTAAGGGTTTGATGTGAACTTGGCAGATCCTTTATCAACATGAAATAGAACTTTCTGAACAACCTCATATCAATTATATTTTGTCTAAATAATACAACTCTTATGCCTGATTAATCAGTTGCATTTGATGAATACTTTTTCATTTTTAAAAATTAAAAAAAATTTAAAAATTTCAGCTTCCTTTGTGTCTGTTTTTCTCTTGGGAAAAAACAAAGCTGGAACGTCCACAATAGCCAAACTGTGGAAGGAGCCTCTGTGTCCATCGACAGATGAGTGGATAAAGAAGATGTGGTCTATGTATACAAAGGAATATTACTCAGCCATTAGAAAGGATGAATACCTACCATTTACATCCACGTGGATGGACCTGGAGGGTATTATGCTGAGTGAAGTAAGTCAATTAGAGAAAGACAATTATCATATGGGTTTCACTCATATGTGGAATATAAGAAAGAGCTCAGAGGATCATAGAGGGAAGGGAGAGAAAACTGGGAAGTCATCAGAGGGAGAAACACCATAAGAGACTCCAGACTGTAGGAAACAAAGGGTAGTGGAAGGGGAGGTGGGCGGGGAGATGGGGAGACTGACAGGCACTGAGGGGGGCACTTGATGGGATGAGCACTGGGTGTTATACTGTATGTTGGCAAATTGAATTTAAATTTAAAAAGCGAATAGTGAAATCTATCCCCCCCCCCCACCTTTTAACCAATGAAAGTCTGTCTTTTAATGGGAGATTTACCCTATTCACAGTTACCGAGATTACTAGTAAATTTGCAGTGGTTTATTTTGTATATTCTACTTACATTTTCTTGTGCTTCTATTCTTGCTGTCTCTGTCTCTGACTCTCTCTTTTATCAATTATTGACTCGATTGACATTTCTTTGTCTACTTTTCTCCCTTAATAGTATGGAACTTTGTAAGGTCTGCTTGTATTCTTCAAATGCGTCATCCTAATTTTTTGCCTCGCATACTTACATCTGTACTTCTCCATGAATATCTAATGTTAATGCATAACTATATCCCTCTCCCTGAAAAAAAGTAAGAACTGCAGCAATCTATGATTTCTTCTCTCTTCTTCTCGAACTACACTAACACTCATCTTGATTGCATCCGGATTTTACTGTTTGACTTCTATACATTTTTATGATCAATGCCTATTTAGATACTATGAATTTTACATGGTCTCCTTTCCCCTACCCCTAATTCTCAGTGCTCTTGGATTTCACAGGAGTGGAGCTAAATACCAAAATACAGATGTTTTGGTTGTTTGGTTTTTGTCTTTTTCCAAGGAGGTCATCGTAGAGGACTTGCTGCATCCTTGCATGACTGGAAATAATACTTCTTTCCCTGCTGAATGATGGCTTACCTGGCTAATGATTTCTGTATTACACAAATCTTCCTTGACTTACAGTGGGCTTGCATCTCACAAAGGCCATCATAAATTGAAAATATTGTAAGTTAAAATGCATTTAATACACCTACCCCTTCCCTCCAACATCATAGCTTAGGCTAAGGCTTAACCCCCCGTAAACATACTTGGAACATTTACATTAGCTTACGGTTGGGCCAAATCATCTAACTCAAAGTTTACTTTATAACGTAGTGTTAACTACCTCATGTGACTTATGGAATACTGTACTAAAAGTGAAAAACAGAACTGTTGTCAGCATACCATTTGTTGTCTCTGTTGATCACATGGCTGACTGGGGGCTGCCCCCACCAGGCACCATGAGAGAGAATCGTACTGCATATCATCAGCCTGGGAAAAGATAAAAAATCAGAGTGTGGTTTCTACTGAATGCGTATTACTTTCACACTGTCAGAAAGTCCCAAACCTAAATCGAATGATTGTAAGTTGGGGACTGCCTGCAGATCATTGCCCTTTAGACGCTTAAGCCCTGGCTTTCTTGCAGGCTGTTCTTGATGTGAAGATTGATGTCCAATGATTATTTTCCTTCATAGGCAATTTATTTTCTTTTCTGCTCTTCCTGTCGAATACTTTTTACCATTTCCTCATTTCCTTTTACATTCTGAGGTTTCACTTCGGGGGTGGAGATGTGGTCCTTCTCACCCTGCCGGCCCTGGGGGAGCACATCCCATCTCAGGAGGGTGCTTTGTTTTGGCACAGCATGAACTTGAGTGTGTGTGTGTGTGTGTGTGTGTGTGCACGCGCGCGCGTGCTTGTGTTGGGATCCCCTGGCCCCCCCTCAGGGCATGCTGAAATCCAGAGAGCTGGGCCTCAGCCCAGAGTTTCTGAGTCAGCGGGTTTGCAGGTTTGTGTTTGCGATGAAGTCCACGAATTTACATTTCCGCTAGCTTTCCAGGTGAAGTTGCTGCTGCCACTGGCCTGGGGACCCCACCTAGAGAGCCTCCGCTTTATTAAGTTTGGGGTAATTTTCTTTTCTTACTATTGTGGGTATGCCCTCTTGTCCATTCTGTTGACTCTCTTATTCTGGAAACAATTTTGAGATGATACTCTTCTGTGTCTCCTGACTCTCCCTCCACGTTTCCACCTCTCTGTCCACTCACAGTGGGTCATGGAACTGTTCTCTCCAGCCTCCCAGGGATGCTTGCTCTGCCTTGCTTTTTTCCAAAGCACTGGATGACTTCTAACATAGTGTACACTTTCCTTTCACAGTTATGATGTATTATTTATTGTCTATATTTATATATATGCAGGGTCCATA